ATTGAGTGTTGAACGAAGGGAAACAGACAAGATTTGTGGTCCTTGGGGATCATGTGCTACGTGCTCCTCCGTTTTAGAATGAGCGTCGGATCGTGATGGCCGTAGGGATTTGGTCACGCTGAAGGAGCAAGCGAGCGCAACTTTCTTCACATTTATTAGGAAAAGAGCCCTGTTTTTTTTTATGCGATGAGATGGGATCGAAGCGAATTCCTTTTGCCTGTCAGTACTCGGGAAAGTCCATAGATCTCAGCTTTCATTTAAAAAAAAACCTAGTCAACAAAGGCTGTCAGTTCCGGAGAGGGACAGCTTACAGGGCCGTGAAGTGCGTTTCCTCTCCTCAGATCCACACTTTTTCATTTCCCCCTCCCCTCTCCTTCCTTGCCAACAGTCAACAGGAAAGAAACAACGGAGAATTGTGATGCATCCTCAGTGGAGGTTCGATAAACGTGCGTTGAAACGTAGCCTGGCTGCAGAACTTTTTTTTTTTGCAGAAGAAAGAGGGAAATGTGCGACGTAGAAGGGAAATGATGTGGGATATCGGAGTGGGAAGATCGCAGGTGTGCACCCAGCCGTATCATGTTCACCTCAATATTTTTGTTCCTTTGCTGGATCCATTCACCACAAATCGAGAGATTGTCCTCATCTGCGCTTAGAACGTGCTGTAATACGATCTGATGGCTTTGTCTCACGTTTCGCCAGTAAGGATTTCCCCCTTCTCAAGACAGGCAAGAGATTCATTTTTTCCCCCCTTAAGAAATCAACAGTTTCCTTTTGGTGGATATTTCTTGTTTCATGTAGAAAGTTCGCACGCCACTAGGAATCCATGAAGTGCAGTCTTTTGAAATCAAAACGTGACCATGCATCAACCTCGCGAAACCGCAGACTTCTCACATTCCAAATACAGCCGTCAAGGGAAAGGAGTACCGAGTACGTCAAGTTCTTTCATGGATTCCGTCGCATTTTTTTTGTAGCGCTTGGAAAGATAATTGAACGAAGCCTGGAGACACTCGTAAAGATCAGAATTTCCAGGACTGTTAACGTGAATTTACCGGGTGGACCCGAGAAGCTGGCAATGACAAATTTTTCTCGGTAATAAGAGGGAAAGATAAATTGCATTACAATTGCTAGAAAGGACTTGGGATTAGGAATGCGGAGGCGGACTCCTCTCTCTTTTGAAATTGAAGCCGCCAATCTCGCTTCTTGATTGATGAGTTCATTGGGCTCATTAGTATGTAAAAGCCTTCCCTCTCTACGGTCTTTCTTTCTCATTTCTTGCCTGCTTAGTCCGTCTACGTTTCCTCATGACAGCCAGCCCCTCCAGCTACATCCGTATCCCATCCTCGTTTCCTTGCATGAAACGAGACAACAGCTCCATCATCGCCAGGAATACTTTGAATTGTAGGCGTATACTTGCATTTCTCTTTAATTCGAGCCATGTTTGTATTGGTTCCCTTCGGCCGAAGCCTTGCGTGCCCCAGATGGCCTGGGCCCTCTCCGTACGAGGGCAATCTGGATTTATATGCGAGAGACGAATAGGTTGCATCATGAAAAAAGGGAGGATTGGAAGAACGAAAGAAAGAGGAAATACGTAATGAGAGGTGAAGTGAGAGAGACTGAAGTCAGGTGAGACGAAGATCAATCATGACTGTCTCTAGAGGGTGCCCTCAGATCACTGCTGACGTCTAGCACCCAATCCCAGCATCTCTTCTTTCTCTTTACATTTTTTCTCATGCAATCGCATATCGAAGAAAAGTAATGGATGAATCTTGCCCTCTGAGTAGAGGATTTTCGGTTTTTGCTCCAGGTGGAAAGGAAGGAACGTGGTCATTCCGGCACGAGCTCCTCCTCAGCAACGATGACTAATCACTTCGTCCGAGGGCTAATGATTCCCGCGAAAATTTATTCATGAGCTTATGAGTCCATTGAGCTATTGAGAGTTGCAAGTTCATCGCTGGTTTGGATTTGGAAGGAGGAGACAGACGGGACGGGCAGTTCTTTATTATTCAGGTTGAGGATAGGATCATGCGAGACGAGACGTCATGTTTCACTTTTATGAGGCCCGGGACGGTGCCCTGAAATTTGTAATGCTAATGATGCCGACAATGTGATGATATGTCTTGAGTGGGTGGACAAGGCGATGACGGAGGATCCTCATAGAAGTATGCAGCCATCATTATGATTTCAGTCCGATGGACCACCCCATCTCGTTTTCGTGCTTTACCCCATGGCAAGAACCCATAACCACTTCTGCTGCAGCTGCATCTCCAGTATGAGAAATCGTTTGCCTTGAGTCTTGTTATGTTCCATGACATCAATCTTAAGGAGGTCTGGCGATGTCAGCTTTTCATGGTAATCACGATTGTTAGGCCTGTTTATCCTCCCAGGGTTCCATTTGTGCTTAGTGACTGAAGCAGAGACTTGTTGGCTTAGGGATCCCCTTGGGAAAGTGCAGGTACTTGCAAATACTCGCGTAGCAATTAGGGAGGAAGAGAGAAATGAGGGGACATTGGTCTTGGTGGAACACAATGACACCTTGAGCCAGACACCGCAAATTAGGGTAACAGATGCTATGCCACCCTCGAGGCCGTGGAAATGTGACTTCCAGGTGCCTCAGGCCAAGACAATTCGTGATTTCCGCTTCAATTTTCTTTTTTCTTTTTATTTTTTTCCTCTTGGGTCCGAACTCTACCACTAGATTATGGGCCCTCGATCACGTCCGGTTCAAGGCAGCTCCCCTGAATCCTCTCCTTTTTGACGTCAAACAAGTGTGACATCACCCGAATTCTTTCGTGTCGACTCGAGATTGCTCCTATACCTGAGAGTGATTCACATATGTGGGAATGGCTTTGTTCTCATAGAACTGGTTCTGTCTCTCGAGTGACATAGGGTTGGTCTCCTCGATCGAGATAGGACGCTTTGAACTGCCCGATCTCATTACGTTGCTGCCTAAGGCCTCGTCCGCACCAGAAAGTTTTCTTGCATATACGATGAAAGAATGTTGCAAAATAAATATTTTTGAAGTAAAACTTTCGAAGAAATTGCCAGATTACTGTAAATTTTGCATATGAAACATGTAAAACTTTCAAAGACGTCCTCACCATGAGAATTTTATTTGCAAGTCGACTTGCAAAGAAAAATTGCATAGAAAACATTCTGGTGGGGACAAGGGATAAAACTCTGAAGTTTCGGGACTCGAAGGTGCTCGTCAATCTTGCTCACCTCAGTTTTCCTGGTTCTCTTGAAAAACGAGACGTGCTAGGCATCTGTTTCGGCTCAAAGTCAAAGAAGGTCACTCGCTTTTCCAAGCAAAAGTAAATAAACATAATGTCTGTCGCTCGTATGCCACAAGCTGGTCTTTCTTCATTCGGCACCTCTACAGTCAAGGTATTTCCCGTTTAGTCCAGCATCCCACGCTATCTTTGATGTAAATATACAGGGTGGCCCAAAAGTCGTGCATCGTAGGGGATTTCACTGTTGGACTTTATTAATTCTTATTCTATTTATTTTATTTTATTTTTCCCGGCGAGCAATGCGGCGGTGGTTTGAGAGTCTCCTATTTGTATTTCCTAAAGTATTTTCCAAAGTCGCCTTTTAGTGAGACTTTATGGAGAAGACTTGTCGGTTTTACTGGCTTTTATTGAAGAGTTCGCTAAGCCAGCTAGCGACACCAGTCCGTTGTGTCGAGGAGACCCGTCTACCTCGAGGGGCGAACTAGAGCTTAGGAAAACGAAGGACAGGTGTCGCAGTCGGTCTGTGTCTCTTGCCAAGATGAAACTGCTGGAAAGAATGCATGTCCGTGGCATTACGTTCATTGAAGTACGCACTCCTTTGTGGGGGAAAACGCATGGGCTTGTCTGTGGAAAGGATGCACAATAGGATAGAGAGTGACGACCCCCCCTGTAGGCAAAATAATGGAAAGATTTCACACGTTGCCAAAGGAATTTGCACAGCAGGGCGTGATCGCAGTGGTTGCCCTCACGATCACTCCACTATCTCCGTTAGACAGGCAGGTGCCTATCACCTCTCTTTCCTGCAATCCCTGTCAGGAAGTGCTTGATTCCACTCATGCGAAAATAGACGCTACGTCAGTAGGCAATCAGTTTCTGAGAAAGGAGGCCTCGTTCCCTGAATCATGTTCTCAGGACCTCTCTCTTATCAGATTATGCCGTGTGCCTTTTATTGCTTCTCATATCGATCTTACCTCACAGGACAGGGAAAACAAGGGACCCGGGGCTAGGGAAGTGTTCCCAGGCTTGATTTCACATGATTATCTCGTGGAAGGAAGAAGACCTTGTTACGTTGTTCTCCCGCGATACTTCATGCAGGACATGACAATATCTGAATGTCCCTGCCTGAGGGTGGATGTCACGTGACAATGTTCAAAGTAATCAAACGCCCTATGGCGCAGGGTCCTCTTGCCACTTCAGGATATGCGCTGTCTCGATAAGAGACCTTTTCAATGGCTTATGACGTCTATTTTCTCTCGTCGTCGAGATATATTTTGGATTGTTTCCTTCTTTTTGTCGTTTGCCTGTCTTTTCACCTTCATCCTGATGACCCTTGATTTCGTTTCGTAATGTCCCCAATGCGCCTGTGTGCATTTTTCTGTTTATATGTCATGTGGGCTTTATCTCCAAGGAGACTCTCACTCGTTCCCATTCCCTCGCGCGTCCCCTCGTCCCCGATATCACAAAGGCAGAGGCCCCTGACCGAGCACAAGGATTTATTATAAGTCCTCTTCCCCTCAGGACTTTCTTCCTTCTCGGTGGGTGTATGTGTGTGTGTGTGTGCGCGCGTGTGTGCGTGTGTGCATACACAGGCATTCAATTGGGAAGTGTTGGTCTATGACTCTGCGGACTGTGTTTGATTTCCACGTGGCACCTCCCCTGCCTTACTTCGATCCGGTCCCACTCTCCTTCCATTCTCACGAAAGGCAGTCTAGTGTGCGTTCGTGTGGAGTCCCAGGTGTGCTGTAGTAAAGTCCCCTTCTCTTGACTAACATGGAGAGAGATTCCGAGTCATGCCTAGGGGAAACTCTAGAGGATCACGACCAAGCAGAGGAAGAGGAAGAAGAAGAGGAGGAAGAAAGGAACACTTGTCGTGATGATCGCAGTCCTTCCCTCTGTTCTTCCTGTGGGGGCCTCCTTCCTGATTCACCTCCAGATGGGTTCATGCGCCAGTTATTGCTGGCTTCCAAGATGGATTCAGATCCTGTTTCCGTCGTTGGAGGCAGCAAATCCAAGACAGATTTATGCCGGACAGATTCCACGGAATCTACGTCGTCCATAATAGCACGTATCCCCGATGCTTGCCATTGTGAGGAATGCCTCCTCGGGATCTCGGATATGCTCTCTGGGCAGAACCTCAGTGTCAGTGTCATTGTCACTGTCAATGGCAGTGGACAGACCCGTCCCCGCTATTATCCCAAGAAGGTATTGAACTACAATCCGTCATCTCTTGTTGCCGACTCTTCTTGTATGGTGGCATTTGTGCTTCTCAACTTGGATGGATTCCCGGCTTCATTTCACTTTCCGGCATAGGCTTAACCAATGGGAGGGGGCAAAGAGGTCTTTACCCCCTCTTACTTTATCCCAGCTTGAAGCATGCATATCTAGCAAACGGCCGTGCTTGGATAGGGCCGCCAGCTTCTCAGCTTAACGGATAAAATATCAGCGTGGAAGCCCAAGAAGAAGAAGAAGAGAAGAGCATTATAGTATATTGATCTCTGCAGGTGGACAGGATGGGGAATGGAATGGGATGGGATGTGTGTGGCGAGTTCGATCTATCCATACTCTCAGTCATCTCTCCCTGAAACATTCCTCCCCCTCCCCCTCCCAATAGCGCATGGCCGTTTACCACCCCTCTCAAAAAAAAAATCCATGTAAAAAAAAAATGTTACAAAAATAATAACTTTTCAGAACTTTTTCCAGAACATTTTGTTTATGCTTTACCGAGGTCTAAGATGGACCTCTATTTGTACAAAACGCTATACCTCACTTTTCATATCTTTTTTTTCCTATTTTTATCTATTTTTTTTTATTTTGAATAGAAGGATGAGCATCATAAAAAGGTATATTCATCCCAGTCATCATAAATAGAATGTGAGGTACCGTCAATTTCAAGGAAACTGGGGACAAAGGTCGCACAATATTTTATGTTCTTCCTGATACTTGTTGTTACAAGGCCCTTGAATTGTGCATGCAAGAGTTACACGTATTATCATCTGAAGAACTTTCACCATGATGCATACACCATGATGCATATAGCATATGAACCTGATGTCCTGACCTGTCCCTCCATAATGAACACGTTGCCTGTCGAAAACGGAGGGAGAGACGATGTAGGACATTCTTAGGTGTGTGTGTGTGTGTGGGATTATAATTCATGGGAGAAAAGTGTGAAGTCATTGGAACCTCCCACGTGCGGGTCAGGATGAATGTCCTACATATGTGAAGGGAAGAAGGAAGCGCATGGCCCCTTCAAGCCGCGTGTTCTCTTTCCTTTGAGAAACCGGGTGTCCTTCATCAAGGAGGAGGTACTTGCGGTTTCTGTTCCCGCTTCTTATGCAATACCAGGGAACTCCTCAGAAGGAAAATTTCCAAACCGTCCCGCAGAAGGTTCGTTTTCTAACGAGAGAAAAGGGAGAAAATACCACCTCTGACTGGGACACGAGTCATGACAAATCGTGTCACATCATTGAGAGGTCTCGTCTCATTAAAATTCACCTGAGAACTTTATCCCCCGCTGAGGGTCGACCCGTTTCCTCATCCGTCACGTAGATTCTGAAGCGTCGCATCTTCCCATCAAAGATCGGATCAGTTCGGGCGGGAAACCGGTTCAAGAGTCATTAAATTGACTCTCTTGTTGGTATTGCGACGAATGATCTCGTTGGATGACCCGCGAGATTCCTTCCTAATGACCTGGAAAGAGAATGGAATTACTCAGATTGTCTCTGTTTGACTCTTCCACATGGCATTGCATACTTAACTATCTAGGCTCAGTTATGTAAAATGAGTCCTTTTAGTGAGCTTTCCCTTTTGCGGAATATTCGGAGCGGAAGCGCCTTCGAACAAAAGAGACTGAATCTTCCTCTTTGGCCTCCTCTGAGGGAAAGTGGAAGAAAATATAGCCTTTTATGGGAAGTCGTATGAATATAGTGCAAACAGATTCAAAGGTGGGAGGTATCGCATTGAAGAGTGAGGAGTCAAAAATGTATTCCAATTTTTTTCGCCGTTTGCCATCATCGTTGGCACGTGTCGAACAGCAAAGGAAAGGTCTTTCCTCTTCTGCCTGCTTGGATTTCATGGATTTCCCCTGTTTTCAGGTGATTGCATGATTTTCTACCAATCGCTAGCCAGTTTTAAATAGTTCCATTAGTATCGGTGCAATCAGACACCACGACTTTCCTCATGTGGGTCATTCCACGTCGAAACAACTCTCCACATTTCCAGCTTTAATTCAATTTGGTCAGTGCTCTGTGCCATCGAGAAGTTGAGAAACTGGACAATTTTGCATTCTCAGTTGCGTAGTTCTCAAGGTCATGAAAACATTGTTTCGTGATCTGGCGGCGTCCTTGTCCCGCATTATTTTTATGACTTCTGTCATAATTAAGCTAGAAAGGTGATTTATGGCTCCATTTGAAGCTGTCTTTCAAAAATATGTCGATTCCGTCAAGCATTCCTTCGGCTCCGATGCGCGAGCATGATCATCTGGTAGCATGGGAAGCACCACACCGTACTGCCTGGCCATGTCAGTCAATTACCCGGCCTAAGTACAGTTTTCGATCATGATCGAAATATCATCGTAGCTCAATCATCATGATTCGATCTGGGTCTAAGTATCGTACCCAATATCTGATAACTCGATCATCATAGCTTAGATGATAACTGGCGTCACGCTGCCATAGGACCCCCTGCCGTCTGTCCTGATGGCTCCTTACTAAACTTCAATTATCCCATGCGTCTTTCACGTGGGCAGTTGCTCCATTGCATATTTATAACTTAACCACCTCGACTGTTTGGAGACACGGCGCAGGAGTTACCACGGAGACCTCGTGTCTTTCTTGTGAAAAGGATTGGAAGATGGAAGAGAGCTATGATGGTCCTAGGCCTTGTGTAAGGTGTTTTTCTCGATTGATGAAACAGCTCTCATTAGAATATGGGGTGACAAGCGTACCCAAGCATTTTTCGAAACTGGGAAAGAGGGGAACAAAGCCATCTAGATATCCGATTTTTGGTTGTGATGGCATGGAAAAGGGCCTGAGATGACTAGATTCGTCGGTGGTAAAGTTAGATGTCGCTCTCAATTACGATTTCGGTCTAAGTATGAAAATTCGATCAGTTACAGGGGTCCCGGAGGGCTATCGAGTTATGATGATCGAGATATCAGTTATGTGGGTCTAAGTATGTTTTTCGATCATGATCGAAAAGTATACTTTGACCGGGTAAATCAGCGAATATTCACGTATTACTCACGTGAGTCCATGACTTGCTCATAAACTCTTGTTACATGAATTCGTAGCTCATGTACTGTATGATGTATTACTCATAAGCCGCAGAATCAGGAGCATTGTGTCTGATCACGCCATAATATCAATATTAATGCCCGGAGGTTATTCTCTCAAGGCACTGAAAATGAGTCAGAATCATCTTAGCCCTTTGTATACTGCTTCAAACAATTAGGAGATATTCCAGGTGAAGGTGTCAAAGCAGATATTAAAATAGGATTTAAATTTTTATTAATGACTTAAAGCTACTTCACTAACTCCAATGCAAAGAACGTTCACAAAGAATGGAGACTGTCACGTTTTTCTCTTACACACTTTTTTGTTTTTATCTCTCCCTGAAATAATCCGCCAATTGTTTGAAGCAGTATGTTATGAATTCCTTGACAAGGCTGTAGATAAAAGTCATAATGGCATGAACCTCCCGAAAGAACTCAGAAGAGCTCAGTTCTGTTATCTGTTGACTTTCTTCCTGCCCTCATTTTACGAAGTGTCGAGGACTCGAAGCACTTGTTCGGTCTAGTCACGATGGAAGATCAGATTGAATGGAACAGAGGAAGCTTTGAACTCTTTCAGTTTCCTGCCATTCCCTTCGCCTTGGCGTTTCAGGTTCGATTTTAGATCATCTCGTTTTCTGGACGTTTGGCTTCAGGTTTTCCCAGGTTTCTTCATTCTCGCTTGCCTTTACAACTAGCTCTAACTGGCTCTACTTCCTTTGAATTGAATGTTGTGATTTCACCTTTTGTGTTTGTATGTAGCCCTCAGGATGGAGGAAGGTGAGAAACATCGTCCAGTTGGCTCCGTTTTTCCAGACCTACCGGAAGCAGAGATACCCCTGGGTCCAACTTGCGGGACACCAAGGTAGAACATCCAGTTGACTATTCTTTCTCTATCTCCGGTCTTTAGAAGGATTCATGAGAATCCCAAATCACTCCTAGAAGAGCATGTGTCCAATCAATTACATCCCATTCTCGCGCTGAATATTGTTTTACATGTCTGCTCTCAAGACTGGGAGAAAATGCTTAACAAATCTCACTTTAATTGCATTCTGACGCCTTGATATACACCTCGATTCCTTAACACTTTTAATGCCTAAAGAATGATATATCGTCGTTTTTAGCCTATGAATCGGCTGGCGTGGCACTAAAAGGGTTAATTAAGGAAGATAGAGTCCTGAAAAGCCTTTCTTTTTTTGGTGGAAGTGATTTTTTCCCGACGACCACTGTTGAAGCCTAAATTTAGTTGCATGATTTTGTTAATTCATTTGTGCCGAAATCTGCTGTAGCCGAATATAAACAGAGGATTCAGGGATATACAAATCTCCCATCAAGATTGGAAAGCCTAAAGGTTGCTGATAAAATTTTCGCGCCTTCAGTGTTCATCGTAATTCTACGAGTACCGGTGAGGCATTCATTATCTGTCAAAAATTTCCGTTAATTCAGTTCATTTCGACCCTTTCTGAGGCAATTCAGGCATTAGAGGGCAAAGAGCAAATATAGTTTGTAATTTTTTATTTTTATTTAAGGAAACTTCAAGGCAGGAGAAGAGCAGGGGACTATCCTGAAGAAACTCTGTGGCGAAGAAGATGTTTGCCTTCAACAACTCAGATCTGATGCCCTTCGACCGTATGTGCCTGAATACAGGTGAGATAGAGGTATCCTGCCCGGATATACGCCTAGTATCCTATCGTACACTTCAGGAATATACAGGGTATCTCAAAAAAGTTTGCACTACAAAATTGAATTCTTATTGAACTTGTGAGAATAAATTCGCAAGTTGTTTAAGAGACGAAAGTTTAAGCTCTTTTTAAATATATATTTCTCCTTTTTTTCTGCACGAAAATCAATCATTACTGTTACCAAATATGGGACCCCCGAATAATAGACTTGAAACAAAAGTAATATTGGCAGTTTTACTAAAGAACGTGTTCAAGGTGTGCTCCGTTCACGATGCTAGCACATCTTGCGCTTCAATCAATGGATTTTTGTTTTAAATGTTTCTTTTCATTATCATTTGAGAGCTTGCATCTCTGGATTTTCAACTAAGCAATTCGCAGTGAATTTTGCTAACGTCAATTTCTTGTTCTTGTCGTTCACAAACTTGCTTTAGGGTTGATCGATTCTTATGCAGTTTTCCGCCAAAGGAAGCTTAGTCCTTCTTTTGAACCGCTTAAAGTTTTTTTTCCATTTCAGTTTGATGAAACAGACAGAAAAGCCTTTTTTTTGCATCCATGATTTATTGAAAACAGTTGTAAATATGAGTGAACAAAAACGAAAATATTTCAGAGGCGAAGCGAGAAGGGATGGTGAGAGTAAGAAGAGAAGAACGGAACAAGAGGGGAATAAGGAGCGGAAAAGGGGGGGGGGGGGTGTTGAAAGGTGAAAACAGGAATAAACTGGAAAATGGAGGAGTTTCCGCGAATGCGTTTCGGTCCGCAACAATTACACACTAGGATCTCATGGAGAATATTTCCTAGTGGGTACTTTTATTATTGTAATAGCAACAATCTCTGAAATGGCTCTCGTTTATTCGGGAAGACGCCCTGGAGCTTTAGGATGTATGTCTTACTGCATCAGTCGTGACCTATTGTAATTTGGCGTAATGGGTCGCTTAGTCGGTCACAGTAGACAGAGACATTGCCATGAAGCACTAAATTTTGACGAATTGAACAATTCAAATCTCCTTGACGAACATCTGCCGATACGATATGTGAGACGCCGACAATGGATGACTGGGGCTCAGACTCCGGAATGAGGGGGATCATGCAGAAAGATAATACCAGTATTTAAAGAGTCCCTTATCTCTATCCCTCTATTTTGTTTACCAAGTGATTCTGTTAACGGGGAACCCTGTCTGATTAGTTGAGGGGCGACTCGAAAATATGAAGTCCATGAGGAAAGCAGACGTAAAAAAAAAAAGATTAACTACGATTGTAGCCATTCAGTAACGCTTTTGTTGGAGACTGAGTGGTAGAAGCCTTACTTTCTCATTGGCGTTAGGGCTTTCACGATGCATCTATGGTTTTTCGGATATTGGAATTCATTGGCAGGCGAATAAGGAAAATGTCGTAATTCGTCAGTGATCGTGGGACCCCGCGAAGCCCGGAAACGAGAGAGAGAAAATAAAATGAGGAAAGACTTCGAGACGACTGAAACCACTTTTTTGTTCCTTTACCTGGCTACGATGGCTATTAGCCTTTCCTTATATGAAATTGCGTTTTGTAAAGTGAACCTGGCATTTCGTTCCCTTCCGAAGCAACAAGGCAAATTCCACTCTTCTTTCTCCCGATTAATCACAGTTTTTTAATGAAAACACCTGATCATTTTGCGATGACCACCATTGATGGTTCAAGTACCATCAAGATGGTTCAAGATAGATGGTAAACCGATGTTTTAAAAATTGCCACCGTGACAGCCCTATTTCCCCCCGTCTCCCACACTCGTTATCTAATATATATAGACGATCGTGACTGACTGACGCTAATTCTAACCATGTTCTAGAAAGGTTAGAAATCTGAAACTTGGTACCCATGTACCTTTTGGGACGTAGAGTTCAGAAAAAATCCGACTTTGGAGGTGCATGCCCTGGGGGTACGCATTTTGGGGGGAGAAGTTTTTTTAAATATATATTGTGATGGATGAGGATGGCATCGAGAGGGACGACTGGATGTCCCGGTTTCGGTGATGTAGTGGTAGCACACCTGACCGGCAATCAGGAGGCCCAGGTTCAATTCCCGGCCATTCCATGGCTTTTTTTTGGCTTCTCTTGCCTTCCATGTCCCGTTACTCATTCCCCCCTCCATAACATTATTTTTGCTTGAATAAAACGAAGAGACATGGAAAGCTGAAACCTGACATGGACCGAGACGATGAGTTCAGGAAAAATGCAAAATTTTAGATCCATGCCCTGGGGGCATATTTTTGGGGGCCGACGTTTTCAAGTATTTTTTTTGTCTTGGCATATGGGGCTAGTGTGGAAAGATGAAACTTGGTACATAGCTACCTATTGGGATGCTGCTTGCAGAAAAATTCAGACTTTGGAAGTAAATGCCCTGGGGGCACTAATTTCAAAGAGAGATGTTTTCAACTAATTTTTTTGTATCAGTTAAACTGATGAACATGGAAAGCTGGAACTTTGCATGAATGTGACCACTGAGACAAGGAGTTAAAGAAAATTGTTAAGTCTCGATACATCCCCTGGGGGAATTTTTTCGAAGGGCGATGTTTAAAAAAAAATTTGTCATGGTGAATTGTGGAAGGGTGAAACTTGGCAAGAACGTGACTGCTGACGCACTGAGCTCAAATGTCACATTTTTCAGACCCATTTTCCTGAATTTTTTTTTTGATCCAACAAAACAGAGACAGAAATTTTAAACTTCCCTCAGAAGTACCTGTTTGATTGCTGAGTACATGAAAAATCCTACTTTTGAAATATGTCCCCTTAGCGTAGATTATAGGAGGGAAGTATTTCAAAATGTATTCTCCAACGTACTTTAAATACGTGTTTCCCATTTCGCAAAAAATAAATGAATTAATCACTATCCAAGGTAATGGAGCGCCGAAGGCGCGACCATAGTTTGTTTGCCCTTCGGGCAAAAAAACTCGCTAGTTTAATACAACCGAAGCCTCTCGTGCCAATATTTTGATTTGTCCCAATATGACCCTTCTCTTCATCACTTCATAGTTTAATCAAATTCTTAACCAGCTCATAATTTATTGTCAAAATATCGCTAAGGACACAAATGTTTAAATGGCATGACGCGATGGATACTGTTAAATCAGGCATGATAAATCATGCCTGATTGATCTGCAGGTCAGTTTTCAGATGCCTCGTGGGTTCTCGAATGCAAGGAGGAACTCATCACCAAACGTAGAGTAGGACTTGGGAATCTAGCTTGGCCTGCAATCAAGTGGCCAAATCTATATTTGATTTTAAATTTACTCACCGAATTGGCAGTCCTTGAATAAACTTTTGACAGTAATTTTTCTATGTATCTTGAAAGACCTGTTTCAATAATGAGTTTAATGCTCAATGTCGGTTAAGAATTTTGTTTTATTAGTTTTATGAGCCAAACATCAAACGATAAATTGCACGCTTTGCAGGATTAGGATCAGGACTTATCGATGCCATTAGTCTTGGACATCGCTAAAGCCCGAACTTTCGAAGCTCTGGGGTGAGGACATGTAAGCTTTTGTCACGTCAGAATCAGCCCTTTATTTTATACTAGTTGCACTCGCGTCGCTACGCGACTCTTTTGTTCCGAGAGGCGATTAAATCCAAAAAACCATGTGATAGAGACTAAGCGGTACGATAATAACTTCATTCACAAAAATTCAAAAACTAACACGATCCTCCTGTCATCTTGCGCCAGACCAGGTCCATGAGCATCAGGAAAATCAGAATTCGTCTCTAGCCCGTGGCTTGTTACGGCATGTCATGCCGATACAGCATGTCATCAAATATGAATGGATGCATAGGTACGGCGTCACTCCTGAAAGGATGCATCAGGAGGATGAGCAGAGATGAGAACGATGGGGGTGATGCTCTTCTCAATTTATCCTTGCGACCGTCGTACGCCGAGTTATTGGAGGCGAAAATGATAGAATTTCCATCAGGTCCGAGGCGGGATCTCTGCCAAAATGAGCGAGAATTTCCATCAGGTCCGAGGCGGGATCCCTGCCAAAATGAGCGAGAGTTTTTTAAAGAAAGTTGAAAATCCCGGGTGGAAGCCCTCGCCCTACGCAGAGCGTCTCATACGGACGGACACATGCCGATTAATATATAACTAATCGAAGACAGTTGACCATCTAAATTCAATGTTCCAATTTTACCCCTCAACCTACTGACGGAGGTATGGGTTTCTCGTGCTTTTATAGTGGAACGGACATCCCTGATGTGATTGCGTCACATGCGCAGGATCACAACTCTCTCCAGCAGGGCTAGTCCGAACCCGCTCAAAGGCCTAAGCGGGCTTGCGGGTCGGTCGGATCTGCCCGACACGGGCCGCAAGTGCTGCTCATGTAGTATCGTGTTTAGCTATGTCGGTGGTTTTGGGTTGGGCCCGGGCCGATATTAGATTCGAGCCCGTCGGGTAGAATGAGGAAAAGTCGACCCGTGCAGGACAGACAGAGAGACAAACCTCGGCTAGACTACGCAGAGCGTTTCAGACGGACGGACCCTTGGCGATTAATTTATAAGATACCCATTATTTTATATATGAAGGGCTGAAAGGCAAAGTGGTCCATCTGCAAAAAATTCCTGGAGCTCCACATGGAACGAGTGACCGTCATGTTAAAAGTGAGACAAAGTGGTATATATCGATAGATGACTTCATCCTTTACTTAGTTCCAAAAACGATAATTTTCTATGAAAGGAACAAGGTTCTGTAAGCACAAAACCATCACTTTTTTCTGGAATTTTTTTTTACAGATAGACCACTTTATCTTTCACAGCCTTTCATATTATATACGAGGAGCAGTCAATAAGTTCCAGGAACACCTTTATAACTTTGTGATTCCTTACCCTGAGGGAAATGTTAGTAATAGCATTTGAAATCCCATTCTTTATTGTGCGTTTGGTACTAATTAGGAATTTTTTAAAACATATATTTCTCGTAAATATGACCTCTGGGAGTGACCCATGTAAAAACCACTGGAAAAATTTGCAATTTTCTTTCCTTGAGAGTCGTGCATACATCAAATATATTCTATTCGACTTCAAAAGATACACTTGCGGCTTCGATGTGACATGTCAAGGGGGAGCCTCGGTCATTAAATATCACGTATGCTCCTCACCTGAGACATGGTTAATGGAGGGATTTTCCTTGAAAATCAGAATTGCTGACTTTTTTTTTCGTTCAATTGGGTGAAGCGGGATTCCAATGGATCTCTCTCAGCTGACTGAAAGATGTCATCCTTTATCTGACATCGCTGAAGTGTCATAAACCTTTAGCCCGACGATGACCTACCAGAGGCCAAATACACACATATCTCTTTGACTTCTTGCCTCTCACCGCCCCATCCATTAAATATTTTGTTCTCAAAGTTTGTATTTTGCTGCCGAATAGACTATACGATCACTGCTGAACTGGATATTCATAAAGACCTTATGAAAATAACCGTAACCCATAACTTTTATTAGGTCACTTTATTAGGTTATTCACTTTTATTAATTATTCACTTCATGAATGCCCTTGATTTCACAGTTCAGCAGTGATCGTACTATGATGTATGCACGACTCTCAAGGTCAGAAAATTGCAAATTTTCCCAGTGGTTTTCACATGGGTCACTTCCAGAGGTCATATCTACGAGAAAGATATGTTTAAAAAATTCCTTATTAGTACCAAACGCACATTAAAGAATGGGTTTTCAAATGCTATTACTAACATTTCCCTCAGGTAAGGGATCTCAAAGTTAAAAAGGTGTTCCTGGAACTTGACTGCCCCTCGCATATGTATTTTCCCAGCATTTTTACTTTGAATTGGGCGTATGGAATAAATGTTATGTGGAAGTCGGTTATTAGTACAGTATTGGTATCCTTTTTTATAATGTCAGTTTATTGAATACATGGGCAGAATTTGATAACATAGCATCTCAAGCTATTAATATGAAGTTTCTTTCTTATTTAGATTCTTTGGTTCAGTACTGTGTGTAGAATGGCAAGTCCGTGCAGCCTACTTGTCATTTCAGCCGCGAATCAATATCTTTGAAAAATTGTCGAAGTTATGATATGAGACCTTGTATGGTTTACAATCTATTTTAGTGTCCATAGCCTCTACACTCAAACTGCAGCCTATGACCAGCATGCGACCCATGAATACGGTGTTTTCACATCTGAAGCGGTAGGTCAACTTAGATGTGAGGTTGACTGGAATTCTTCATCAGTACCAGTAGGTCAGTTTTTTTTTTTTAGCGCAGCCCACATAAGGTTCCTCATGTCCGAACGCAGGCCTTGGCTAAAAAAAAATCTTGATGAAGTTCGTTCCATTTCAAGAAACTCTTGATTTTTCCTTGACAGGTCAAGGAGCAACATAGTTATAAAAGTTCATTAATTCAAAAAATAATGCAAACTGATAACAAATCAGGTTTGGTATTTAAGGGAAGAATAGAAGAATAACAGGGAAGAATATTATACAATACCCTACATAATTGGTAGCACTGAAATATGCTATAAGCTTTTTCCCTATTTCTAATTTTTTATGATGATATTCCATGTTTGACTTCAGAGGCCAGATATTGGGAGATGACTGTGAGCAGTACTTGGTACTCCAGGATCTCTTGGCTGGCTTCACAAATCCTTGTGTGATGGATTGCAAAATTGGTGTGAGGACATACCTGGAAGAAGAGCTAGCTAAGGCTAAGGAGAAAGGGAAACTCCGTAAGGTCTGTGTCAGCTCTGATATCTATATAACCATCTTTCTCTGATTTTATCATCCATCTCCCTGCTTTACTTATCATGTTTGTTTCATCTCTACATTGCAGGATATGTACGAGAAGATGTGTCAGATTGACCCTTCAGCTCCCTCAGAAGAAGAGCACAGAGCCAAAGGGATTTCCAAGCCAAGGTGGGAATGGGAATTAACATTCATTCATTCAGTGGAGAATGTTTATTATTTTTGTCATCTGAAAGGCCTGAAATGAGTGAAATGTTTTTTTTTTATGTTTTCAGGTATATGGTGTGGCGGGAGACGATGTCATCTACAGCAACACTTGGCTTTCGCATCGAAGGGATCAAGAAATCAGATGGATCCTCCAGTCAAGACTTCAAGATGACAAAAACCAAAGAGAAAATCCTTGAAGTATTCACATTCTTCCTTGAAGGCTATCCACAGGCTGCTGTGAGAACTGTCTCACTTGATAAATAGATAATAGATCTGGGATTTCCCCCAGTTCATGGAAGTTCTTGATCCTCTTGTTGCAGTCCAAATATTTGCAGAGGTTGAGAGATATCTCTGCCACCCTTGAAGTTTCTGAGTTTTTCCAGAGTCATGAGGTAAGGAAAGAGCAATGTCCTCACAAGGGTGACATTCCTTACAGAGACAGCATGTCAGAATATATCCCTTCTCTCCCTTTTTATTGCTGTAGTTGATTGGGTCTTCCCTCCTGTTTGTGCACGATGCACAAGATGCAAAAATTTGGCTCATAGACTTTGCCAAAACCTTCCCAGTCCCAGATGGGATGAAGATCAACCACCGGGATGCTTGGATGGTTGGCAACCATGAGGATGGATATCTCATTGGCCTTGAAAGCCTCATCCAAGTCTTCACTGAACTTTTCCAAGCTCAAGCCCCTCATGAGACACAATCAACCCATAGATAACGTTTTTGTGATATAATGTACTTGAGAAAGGTCTTCTCAAGTATGTGAAGCCTTCCTCTTCTGCTTTCAAGTGCCTGACAATAATGAGATGTTCCTCTCATTTGGAAAACTGTGTGACTCAAAGAGTTGAACACAAAGGTTTGTATTGTCTTGTTTGCCTTATTATTCAGCGTTCTTGACCTGGGGAAATTGTCCATTCCGAATTTACGTAATACATATTCCAAGAAGAAATTTTCATATGACTGAAATGCATTTGCACTTTGGGACTTTTCTGGCTTCTTTTCATTTCTCCTCATGACCTTTCACAACCACTATTTTGTGATATTCTTTCACCATTTAGGAATTATTCTGTAACTTTAATAATAATATAAATACTGGTTAGGCCACCCAGACCACATGTAACAAAGTGCAGGAATGGATGAGTAGTGATGCTTTGAGTACTTGGGTTACTGGGTCACAATTACTATGCTGAGGTGATTGGACTGAAGGCCTTAGATGACCAAGAGTTCGAGATTTAAGAGTCGAAGTTTGGAGAGGGATGTCAAGAGGCATGTCTGCTCGTATCGATACTCCGAGTCAAGATGGAGTGCTCTGCCAATACTCTCTCCGTTGAAGACAGGCCTTCTTTTCTGAAGATGAATGGTTGGAGCGTGTCATTCTACTGCGGTGTTAATTTAGTGAGCTAATCTCAATTTAGTCATCGTCAACAAATATTCAATATCAATTTAGTCTCATCGACTAAAACCACCATCCACCTCGTCGAGTTTTAGTCACTTGTCGACGAGAATTTTACATATTCGTCAATCGTCGTCATCTTCCCTCTCGTTCGTTTCAGTAGATTGATTTGAAGTCATTCACAGAAGGGCCAGTTACCGCATCATTTAATGCTCTTATGCAGGAGTGTCAAACTGGCCTGTCCATTTTATCTGGTCTGCAAAGTTCTTTACAACAGTTGGTTATGGAAAAGTGTTGCAAATTTCGGCCTGTTTGCGTTAAAGATTTTGTGTTCGATTTTTAAGGTGGCACCTAAGTCACTAAGTCTTGACGTCTGTAGAATCCCAATTGCCCTTGCAGCATAAAATGTTTGCGGCCGTGATTGCTGATTTCCCATTTTGGTATTAATGCTGATATACTGCGACACTTCGTTGCACTGTAAGCTTCGGCGCTGTTGCTCATTTAGGAATTGTTGAGAATGGATGAAGAATTATAATTAAAAAAAACCACTGTATTCGTTCTCCAATCTTTACATTTTCTTATGCGGCCCCGGCGCTTCATATCCAAATGCACCGCCATCTGGTGGGCATGGGAGAAGACCTTCCTGGCCCATCAACCTGCCTAATAATCTGCCTAATACACCTTTCCAAGAAAAAACTGAGCGCTCTCCCCGAGCTTGAGTGAATCTTGCCCTCTCTTTCCTCGTTCATTGCTCGAAATTCCACGCACCGATCACGACGATTTCCTCATGTTGGAAGGTCTCTTGAGTTCCCTTGATTTAGGATGTAATACATGACGACTTGTGTAGGAATTCCGAAAGGGCGATCGAGGAAAGATACTAGGGATCGTCCCACCCGCTACCTCTCCACCGCTCAGGTTTTTTTTTAATGGTGTATTAATGGCATCGGACTATTCCAAATTTACGACCGAAAAACATTGGGTGGTTTCCTTATGGTTGGGGTAGTTTCCTCCAACCCCATTTACTTTTATCGAGCTTTTTTAACTTAACGTTTTCAATCGCCTCAGATTCATCTCGACTCTAGCCTGGTTCTTTCTATCTTCAATGGGAAAACCGACTTTCGGGTCGTCCACAAATTAACCGACTATACCATCGTGGTTGGGATGTGGCCGAAAATTCTTTTCCGGGAGGATTGTGTGGCAGGTAGAGTTACCACGTAAAGCAGTTGAAGGTTGTGGTTAGTAATTGTAATGAATCCTCCAAGCTCGCTTATAAGGGAAAAAAGAAGCAAGACATCTACACCCACTCTCCCATTTAACCCGTCTTGATCTAGATGCATTCTCCATTTTTCCCTTTATTCTCTTTGGCACGAAATCTTTCTGTATTTCAGGAGATGTCCAGGCACCCTTCCCTGGCTAAGTCCCTGAAATTAGTAATGTAAAAGAAGAAAAGAGGTAGTTTGGAGCAAAAGCCCTGAGGGACTTCGCTCGAGAGCCCAACTTTAAACCAGAACCTTGACAACCAACTTCTTGAGTAATTCTCGTGGTACATGGAAGGCTTTCGCGGAATCTAAATACAGAAATTTTCAAAAAGATTCCTAGTTAATGGAACCTAGCGAATTGATTCAGTCGCACGAAATTCGGCTGATCAGAAATTTGCTCTGCCCGCCACCTATAAAAAAAATTCATTTAAATTTAAAAAAGCAATGAGAGAGGGAATTTTCCATCCTCAGGTAGCGTTCATGCCCGAATGCATGAGGTGAACACTACTTGATGTAATATTTAACTCGAATTCACCGAAATAGATGTAAGCAAGAAAGATACCAAGAGCGAGTGATTTACAGGCAGAAAATGTGCCAACGTTTCTCCCTTGCTTAATGTATATAATAGGTTTTGATGCCTTTCTCAGACATCAGTGAGGAAAGTGGAAAAGTGTCAGCCTGACAGGAAAGGTTTCCTTTCTCTTTATCTCATTATGGAAATAGATAAGTCCTTATCACTTCCCGTGTCACCCACCTACGGGTGTGGAGTATAATGAAATCGTAATGGAGCCGGTACTCAAACTGTTATATCCGGTTCAAAGAATTTTTTCATTCCACAAGTCGAAGTTGAAGCTAAATGTGACGAAATCTCTATTGAAAGTTGAAGTTCGCAGAATTCGACTTGAAGAGTTTGCCCTGAGCCCCACTTCTACCAGACTTCCTTTATCCGTTATAAAGTTACCTTGTAATTTGAGCAGGAGAATGAGACGAAAATGGCACCTCCTGAAGCTGGAATGTAATTCATTCCAAGGGAATGAATTACATTCAAGAAATTATTGCACATGGCTCCTTAATGCCTTTCACGAACTTTCTCGGAATGTTAATGAGACCGACCCGTTGACAACTACATAATTCGCTCTCATTTCCCTTCCCTTCCCTAATTTCCTTCTTGGAACCTGAGAAAACGAGATGGAATCTCATCAGAGCTTTTCGCTTTCCCTGCTTTTAGTTCCCCCTTTTCTTTCACGATTTCCTTGGTGACCAAGTGAAAGGGTTGAATGGAATGCATCTATAGAAATTCTTTAGAGGATAAATGCTTTAGAACTTATACAGGTTTCATATAAGGTAAGAATATGTACAGTTATGTAGAATCATGATGAAGACAGAATCCTTAAGAATATACCGACTATATGACGAAAGAACTCTCTACCTGCTATTTGAGTTCTTCCTTCTACAGACGATTTTAAAAAATTATGTAGGACATTAATTTCTGGAATACTTGTTGAACTTCTAATAAATGCCTTTATATAGTTCCTACAGAAGCATTCCATTGAATATCTTCACCTGGGTGATGAGGAAATTGTGGAAGAGCGCGTCGGTGACTTTAGCAATCTCAGATCACGAACTGTTGACACTGCCTTATTTATTTTTGATCGGATGACGTTCGGATAAGTGACGCGACGCTCTATTGTCTTTGTTTTCTGTTTTCTTTGTTCTAATTTTGTTGGTTGAGTTTCCCAATTCGCTCTTAACAAACATTAATCACCGGGTCACTCTCAGTTGCCAATTTTATTTTCCTATTGGGCAGCCCCTTCTGCAGGAGCAATTGTGGTTCGCAATCCTTTGTTCTACTTTGGTTAAGCCCACTGGGCGCATCTTCATGAATTGTGAAAAACCTCAATGTGAAAAACAATGACAATGTGAAAAACCTCGTAAAATCTGCTGGTACTCCAGACAGAAGTTCAAATTGTGGTCTCACAGCATCTCCCCTTCTATCTTTCAGGGTATCCCATGAAAAAGGAAAAGTAAACATAGACCAAGACGAATATTTGCGGTGATATCAATATTCAGGTCCTAACAGTTGATTGGAGGAAATAACAAAAACTTACCCATAAATCTCAAACGCTTATTATGCATTTTTCCTGATAACTCATTGGACAGAGCAGCGAAACTTTCCAGGTGTAGAGGAATTCAAAAGCCGATTTTAGGGTGGATTTTTGAACAGAGAACTAGCTATCCGATGATGCTGCTATATTTCCAGGAAATATCATGTATTGTATTTTCCCTGGAATAAAGCTGCATTATCGGACGGTTCTCTGTTCAAAAACCCACCCTAATTGTCAAAATTTTCTAAAAAAAATGATCCTTTCAGAAAAAGGAGATGCAAGAATACTCGCGTTGTACTTTCTTATAAGTAAAATCCTCTACGGGTTCCACGGTTCATCAGACCCTTGTTGCATTCCACTCAGTTATCAAACATAAGTCCTTACAACTTAAATGACTGCACTTTTCTCCGATTGCATTTCATTTTCTTCACAGGGGCAAATCACAAACTTCTGGTATTTCTCTGGATTCATATCTGGAAGGCTTAGGGTGGCAAATGAAATTGCCCTGAGATTTATCTCATAATATCTAGAATCCCAGGCATTTTCCTGTGCATAATACACTTCTTGAAAAATCGGCTGCCCCTCTTGGAATAGTTTCTTCGAGTTCTTTGTCTAGTGGTTCGCCTGCTTTCCTTCGTGTGTCTACACAACTGTGCAGAGCAACTAAAGCCGAAAACTGGATTTTCCGCTCCAATGAATATACAGGGTGTTAAGAAAGTTGTGTCCCACTGCAGTATGCCAATAACCTCAGCAAAAATTTAAAAATCAAGAAATTTAAAAAATACACAATAACAAGGACAGTTAACTGATTTAGAATCACTTAATAGTTTTAAATATAGCCGCCCTTGGCACGGATGAAAGGGTGTTCACATTGGGGTAGTAAGGGGGCCATTGTGAAATCGAAATGAAGTCGGGGACATTCGTCCACAGCCACTCCTGGGTCATCCGTGCCTTGTGAGCTGGCCCTGAGTCCTGCTGGAGTCCTCCATCGAAATATTTTGAGGCTCACAGAACCAGGCAGTCTTCCAGGATGCTTTTCCGGTAAACATCAGCACTGACCTTCATCTTCTCAGGCTCGAAAACGAGCAGAGTGCGGTAATCCTGGCCCAGACCATTACAGAAGCTGCCCCTTGATGCTGAGTGGCTTGAAAAAAATCTGATATAGATTTTTCAATTTGGTCCATCTTATAGAGCAAAAAATAAGCTAGAAAACGCCATTCTTTGGATTCTCTCAAGCTATCCCTGAACAGAGAATGGGGAGAGAATTCCACAGGAAGACTTGCGAAAATCAGTCAATGCTTTCATGGGTCATCTGAACCTTGTCATTTGCACCAAGGGTGGCTATATTGAAAACTATTAAGTGAGTCTAAATCAGTTAGCTGTCCTTTTTGCTGTGTATAAAAAAATTTCCTGATTTTCAAATTTTTGCTGAGGTTATAGGCATATTGTGATGGGACACAACTTTCTTAACACCCTGTATACTGAATAATGCATATAAATCCAAATGCCCTGAAATCTGGACACGGGATGCAAGAGGATATTTGTGATACAGGTCATCGGGTTCGAGAGATTGAGTGCTGTATAGGTTGATGGTTCGTGGATATCGTGCATTTATCTTATTTGAAAAGGGGGCAAGGAAATGTCCAGATAAGGCTCCCTCTTTCCTTGGGAGCATTCTGGTACAGCGCTGGAGAGAGTTCACAGCTCTCTCACGGTCTTATCATGGAAGGGAATGGCCTGGTCTTACTGTATTTTCTAAGTTACTGTGGAGAGGGTGGGTTGGTTTTCATGCGTCTATATCGGGAACGGTTTCGGAACGTTGAAGTGATGACGACATTCAGAGTTACGAAACTGCCGTAATGGGAAATTTCACTAACACGGTGGGAGCTCATGAATTGCGTCATAGTCTGAACATTTTGGAACTACTATATAGGCTTGGACGTGCTTACTCGCCGTGCCTGATTGGTGGTCTGTTTTTATGCTCGTTTCAGTCTGGCCAACCTGAAAATCTCAGGAGGAAGGGAACGAGATCAATTGTGGAAGGAAATTTCGAATGTCGAAAGAGTCATTTTGGTTGATTCGTTGGATTGCGTTTTAATAATGCTGGTTTTATTATGATCTCGGAGAGTTCAGAGGAGGAGGACGTGTCGTGTAAGGACTTACACGAAGGTAATTGCTGGAATGCTTTTAGTCCATCGAACTCGAGACGCCGATCTGTCTCCCATCAAGGGAATTGGACTTGACTAAAACTCGTGACTTCCCTCTGGGTATCAGAAATCCATAGAATTCCTGGAAGAATAAGTCAAAGTTCACACGCCTCTTGTCGCACAAGTCTCGGGCATCGTTCCATCTCGCGAGATGGAACGATTACCGTTACCCATTCCTACAACTGGCAACATGTTACAATAACGCATTGCTACGCAACCCAGTTGTAGACCTAGCTCCCCAGGACATCCTTCCAAATCAGAGAAATTCTCTCATCATCCAGAGTTGCCTCTTTCTCCTAAAATGATGATGGGGCTTCTGTCGACAATAGAATAATGCTTATTGACGATAATATTGAATTCAGAACTGTACGCGAAGTTTGACCCAAAATATTAGCCAGTGGCAACTCCTTTCCATGATGACATACCCTGCTAAAAGTGTCAAGAAGAAAGTGACAGCCTGAATTTTATTGTTTCTCGCCGCAAATGTCCTCATCTTGGGTGCAGATTAAAATCGACGCAAATTTACATCGTCTTAAAAGTTAGAGTGAGTGTGTCCAGGACTGTTTTAGCTTCACAATGGCACACCTTGTCTGAAAAAACGACCATAACACATAGTATCGAGGTTTATTTCAACATTTGGGTCCAGGCCAATTGAAACCTTGCATATTTAAATATACAGAGAGGTAGAAAGTATTAGGTTCATGCTTAAGTTCATGAGTGTTTGCGATCGGCCCAGCGCAGAAATGAATATGGTCTGATATGACCTAAAGTGAAACCTATAAAAAGGTTCTATTCTGCCTGCGAGCTGCAACAGCAGGAACCTTTGGCATTGGTTTATAGGCGGACTAAACCAGGGGTATATCAATCATAAACTCTCCACCATATCTAACATAAAGAACCCATTCAAAAATATTCAAATATTCAGAATAATCCTCAAGCGACATTCGTATTCGTATTCTTGCTCGACTTTTAGCTAAGTGATTCCTATTCGTGTTTACGATTCAATAAAAGCACTTGAGACCATGTTCATATTCATATTCAAATAGCGTCTCAATAATGATTGCTCATCTCTAGTCCCAAAGGGACTTTTGTATTATGATGATACTAATTATGAAACAGGTGCGAAGGGACATGGTAAGTTCTCATCCCACAGTGTGGAAGCAAAGGTTACCTTTTGACCCCGCCCCCATTTTTCCCAGTTAACCCTTATCTGGATGATGGGGGTCCAATGGACCAGGCAAGGGGGCCAGAATAATTTTTTTTTTCAGAATTGTCTACCAATTTTATGTGTCTTTCATTGACAGATTGATCCAAAAATGAAATTTTGACGTTTAGATATGCTCTTAAGCAAGAAAATGAGCAAGGGGTTCCATTGGACCCCCATTTTTGTTTTGGTCGTTTTGCTACAAAAATACCTTGTCCAGATAAGTTAAATGCACTACCCAGGTAACACATCCACGTGGAAATAACATTGAAACAATGTTTCATAGCAACATTTATAATGTTGAAACAACATTGGGGTGCCACATTGATTCAATGTGAAGATGTCATTTTTGTCAACATTGTTTCAACATTCCTTGTTAATGTTGAAACAATATTGATGGCAGCATTCATTCAACATTCCTCAATGAGTCCCTCGTGATTAGCTTCCTCCATGGATAAAGTAGAGGTAAATTCATCAAAATGAATCGCATGACCTATGGACGATGGACTATATATACAGTACTAAAGAGGTTAAATCCTCTTCAGTTTCTATAGGTCAGGACCCACAGAGTACTGGGAAGTTTGAGAGGATGGATCCTCTTCAGTTCTGCAAACAGTACCACAGCCTTGCATACCTAACTGGTTTGCAAAACGAGGATAAATTCTCTCAGCTCCTCTTTTAGAAGATTTGTGAATGGGTCCCTTCAGGCTACTTTTTATGCGTGCTCTACACGTCTCCAATCGCATAGACTTCTATGCACTCACACTAAACCTGGACATTTAATTTGTTTCAGAATCAGATTCTGCAATCAGAACATCATAATTCCACGTTTCTCTAATATATGTGTCCATTAATTACGTAATAAAAAGAGGAAGGTGGAAGAAGACGCTTTAATGGAAGGTGACAGATCCGTAATTGCATTTGGAGGCTACAGGCGAACGTGGATACCATCTAGTGAGGGCTCTTGGTACTTCATTATGATCGCGCCTAGACTACACTACCCTGGTAACAACGTCCATAAGAGGATGCAAGACGACCGCAATGACCGTAGGATAATTGGAAATGGTTTATATATTTGTTTCCGAATTAAAAAAAAATTCAATATTCAAATACATAATAATATACGGCATACAATTCAATAGTTGAGGAGTCTCATTTTTTCAACATTGAATCATGATGCGGTAGGTTGATAGTACTCCGAAAACCCATTGGAGAGGTCCAACTCTTCATCATTTTAAGAGGGGTTAACAAGTATGCCACATCTAATACATGTCATCCGAATATTCCCCAACTGGAATCCACAATGTGATGCGACGACATTCTATCAACATTGAAACAATGTTCACTTCAACCCTCTACATTCGCACACTCAATCCACATCCAATCAATGTTGATTCAATGTTCTGTGTTACCTGGGTAGGTCCACTTTCAAGAAAGTTTCAAGACTTACGGTATGAACGCAGTAATCCGAAATAATCAACATAAAATTCTGATTCATGTATTTCTCCGCTAATATATCCGGATTTTTGAGACTCTCATTGACTGCCAGGGTCATGCTGAGTGGCAACAGGCGGAGAAAATTATCCTCGAAATCAAGATTTGACTATTCGAAAATGTTCGAAGCTTCGTAAAAACCAAAAAACGTATCATAAAAAACCAAAGAGGGACGCCAAAGACAATCGGATTTGTCTGTCATATCGGATCGCGATCCTTCATGGTTTTCAGATGTAAATTGCATGTAACATCAGACGATCGACGCTTCCATTTCCAATCGTGAATGGATACATAAGATAAGATGGTGAGATTGAGAACCGATGTAAAACCGAAGACAGAGACTTTCACGAGATATGCAGAAACAGCCAGAGACTCTGGGAAGGGGTCATAGAGGATTCATAGAACGCTCTGGAGCAAACACTTTTCAGTGTTCCGCTTCTCGACTAGTATAGTTCCCACATGAGCATTTCATTTCAGATGAGAAGGAAGGCTTCATCATACATGCTGAGAAGGGATAAATTTAAACACCATTCCTGAGAAGTGATCGGAATCGGTGTTGCCGTACCAGGTGTTCCTTTCATATATACCACACAAATCTTTATTTGTCTATTGACGCTGTTTTTCGTTTCCTTTCCAGGTGATCAAATTTGAGCAATTAGCCCCGTATTTGACATACGAGTAGGGAAGAAAGATTGTGGCATGGATGGAAGTGCGTAGTTCAGACGCCATGGTCCAAGGCCTCTTTCTAGATTCGTTTTCTGCTATCATCGCCACAGATAAAAAGTATTTACAAAGATGTATCGGAAGTTTGTTTAACAAACTTCCAATACATCTGCAAAGAAACATCGTCCATCTATGGGACAATTACAGAGCCATTCCACTTAAATCTGATCCCCGGAAAGGAAAGGAGAGCTGCGTCAATGATCATTTACATATAAGAGTGATATCTGCAATGGGAACACCCCACACATTGACAACACCCAGAGCGATGAAGTATCCAAGTGAGAATTTTCGCGGTGTTCAAATGTGACGGTTTTTAATTTTCTTTATTACTTTCGTCCATGGAAACAAGAAGCCGGATCACAGACAAGGTTCTCCCCCTTCCTCTTGTCACAGGCAACAGAAAGAAAAATCGGAAGCACGCCATGGAAATACTGTTGCGTTATAGCAAGAATCACAGATTCGGGAGCACATGGAAAAAAAAGTCCCGACCTAATTTAACAACCTGACATAGACAGACTTTTCTATTTTGGCGGGAAGCTTCACGGTTGTAAGTGGTTCCTCCTCTTCAGGTCTATATCCGTATCACATCGTTTGTTTTTCCAGGGAGTGGAGTCTGGGCGTATCCGAGAGGCGAGGAACACTCTCCACGACGCATTTCGTTTTTCACTCGGACCATGAGGTTCGCTCATGCTTCGGTTCAAGGGCAACTTCGACTGAGGCTTATGCATGGGTAAGACGATGTGACTGGTTTCGGGATGCATATCCTCGCTGCTACCACTTTCCTCATCCTGGGCCCAACCCAAGAGGGTCGCCACGATCCCCATTTTCTGAGACCGATTGGTCTTTGCCTGGTTTTCTACCGTAGACACGCTCCTTCCTTTTGGATTGGACAGGTACCAATTTAAGCGAGGTCGGACTTCGTTCCCCATCTCGTCCTCCACGAAGATCTTGGGGAGATCATCTTTTTCCTCGACACGCTGGGCCACGGAAGAATCTGCTTCCACCATGAGATTCACGGCCTCCACGAGGTCCTTGAGCGTGGCCGTCGTCTTTGTCGCCCTCATTCCCTTCATCGTGTGGATGGACGGCTTAGAGACTGGGAGAATGGTCGGACGAGGTGGTTCTGGTCTCTGCTGCGCCATCAGAGTACTCTCGGGAGATTCGATAGGGTTCAGGAGATCGCACAGGCTTTGAAACGGATAGAGGAGAGACGCCCGGCTCCCCTCGGCCTCCTCCCTCATCTCTCTGGACACGGCCAGGTGGGAGGCGATGAGATGCAGTAGTTCCGGATCAGTTTCCAGGTCTTTGGCAAAGCCGCTAAAGCCAGTGGCATCCACGGAATCGCGGCCGCGGGATTCTCTGGTCACGGCTTCGATTTGTAACTCCGCCGTCGACGTGATCCGACTGAGCTGCCTTGCACTCTTCTGTCTGGCTAGGTTCGGACTCCGGTCTCTCATCGACGTCTCAGACATGCTCTTGGGAAGAATTTGAGACAGGTTCCTTTGAAGAATCTGATCAGGGGTCTCTTCCAGCTGGACCTCTTCTTCCGTCTCTTCCTTCAGTGAGTCTTTCTGAGCAAGTCCAGAGGCGAGTTTGATCAGCAGGCGCATGGGTCGATTGGGGTGCATGGGCATAGCAACGTCCTTGAACGTCTCCGTCTTGTCTATGTCTTCCAATTCGGAATCGGATTTCCGTCGTCGACGGAGGATAGAGTATCGTCTCCTCCCTTTCAATACTTCCACTTCGGTGTCGTCGCGGGTCACCACCTCCAATTTCTGATTCTCCAACTTCTTTGTCCTCCTCTTGTTGTATATGGGCTGCAAAAGTAGAAGCCAGTCATTGAGATCACTATCACTTACTGGCAGTATGCCATATGGCTTACATTTAGTTCCACGCTGTTTGAAGCCCATACTCTTACGCGCAAGCCTACAACATGGACTCGAGCCAAGAGAGAGACGGCGTAGGCGCGTGCCCCGATCTGATCCAGTCTATTCATAACACTGTACCGTAGAAGATACGCAGGTCCCACACACGCACTTTTCTAATATCATCTGACCGATGCAAATCGCAAATGCTTGTTGTCAAATTGTCTTCCTCCCTCCACGACTCGCCATGCATTCCATAACTGGACTCGTATTCATAACCTACCGTGCTTCCAGTTTCTCCGATGTACACTTGTCTTTTATGGGGGATTTGGAGTTCAAGGAGAGATCATGATCTGGAGAAAGAAGAATCATGACTATGATCGGAACGGTCGAGAAATGAACTCCTATGCGTGGTATGCAACCATCACAGGAAAACATTGGAAGCAAGATCATTATTCAGCTGTCCTTCGAATGACGATTAATGTAAACACGCAACAGAATCGAGAAGAAAGTTCACGTGACGAACTCATGACGTGGATTTCCGCAACTGGCGCTAAGGAGACGGTAAGCAAACAAGAGGAGTCGGAGGAAGGAAAATAATACCTTGACAACGACGAGGTTGAGGGCATTGGCGAGGCGCTTGATGTCTTTGGCTTCCCGGCTGACCCGACCGATTTTCTCGCTCGCCCCTCTCAATCGTCGTCGGATCTTCCTCTCCATTCGGCGCACCTTCTTCGACCGATACGCTTTGGAGATGTAGCCGAGGATCATGAGCAGATAGCCAAGCCCGAAGATGATCCAACACACCACCATGATCTTGTAGACCCACATCCAAATGGATCCATCCGCCGTCTGATCTGGAAGCAGGACACAAAATGGGTCGGGCTGTGACTGTCGTGACGAATTCAGCGACTGTTTGGATGCTGGAACCTACTTCCAGCGACGAGATCCCCTAATCCGATAGTGGTGAGGGTGATGAAGCCGAAATAGACGGCTTCGATGAAACTCCATCCCTCCAAGACGACGAGGCAACCGGCAGGAAGGAAAATGAAGACAAGAAAGCCCGGCAGAAGATAGAGTAAGACGTCGGCACACAAACTCAATCGACTGTACCTCTCCGAGGTTCCTTTAGCCCTGGGCAACAAAATAAACAAAACATCCCTCCGATATTGCCATGGGAACTTGCATTGATCAGCAATGTGCGTGTGTGTGTAGCGTTCATAATTTATGATCTGTTCATTATTGACAACCCGGCCAGAACAACATACGTAGCCAGCCAGTCCACATTGATTCCAGGTATCGGACTGCCTTTGCCCAGTGCAGATGCTCCTCAAGCCCATACGCTTTCACCACAACGCAAGTCATTTCATTTATTTTCTGCCTTGAGCCCCAAACATACGATGACAATTTAATGGTCTGGAGAAAAGTTTCCTCTTCGTGCATTTAATTACCACCTAGTGGCGGCGCTACTATTGCGCTGTTTTGCAGTCAAGCCGGGCAACAACAACAAAAAATGGAGAAGTCGGTATTACTGATAGACTGCTTCTATTCCTCTTTCTTGTTACTGTATGCATTATTCCCATGCTTATTGTTAATAATACGAGTGGAGATGATTGTTGCTGAAGGAAGGAAGAGGAAGAGAAAGGCCCTCGTCCTGATTAATGAGTGACGCATTCGCTTGTTGCAGTTCAGTCCGTAAGTCTACAAGTTCATTATTTTGGCCGTGCCTCTACGCGGCACGTTTAAGCACCCCGGCAGTTAACGCCGAACTCGGGTAGTGTGTCCCCGGAGTATTCAGACTGGGTCAAAATTGAATGTCCCAAGGGATTTGGTTCTTGAGGTCATATGAAGTTACATGAAAGTGACTTTTAAGGGGAGAGGGAGACCAGTCGAAGGGTGAGATATCTCCGATTTTGATATTTCTGGATTAAATTTGGGTTTCGAATGATGGTTCTGTAATATTTATTCTGTACCTTCTCAGGTTCTAGTTATACAGTAGCTTCTCTAGAGTATTAAGTTAAACTAGCGGCCTTCCACCCGTACATATACTCTTTGTTACTGTTCAACTAAGAGTAGTCTTAGCTTGGTTCCCGCTGCCAAACTTTGATATACAGTTCATGATGAAACGTATATGCACGAAAGATATGTTGAGGCACAGCGTGCTACATCTGCCAATATGCGAAAATTACAACCAAAATTCAATGTGAATAAAGTAAATAAAAATGGAAGGAACCATGAAATATCAAGAAACGGGACACACGTGCAAACGAAGCGGAAAGTTGATATCATAATGAATAAAATTAGTCCCGATGGACGGATTTGACGAAATAAGAAGTGCTTCTTTAAGGACCACATCGTCGGTAAGGCATCAGTTTTCCCCTGCTTCGGTCCATCGATAACCTGAATCTTCTGCGAATACTCTTAGCGAACTCGCGAGCAGGCAACGTACAAATTCCATGCATGGATACTGGCTCCGTAAGTAGTAATCCGACTTGATCAAATGTCTGTCCCTGAAATTTGTTCATATTCGTACCGTGGGTAAGCTCGATAGGGAATTGACGTTGGCAAAGAGGGAACGGTATGGTGACTTGGGTCGACATGTCCAGTGAAACTCTAGGCAGCAAGTGAACGCAGCCACGAAGCGCACCCGTGATCACCTCAAGTACTATGGGTGTTCAAATGAAATGGGAACTTTTAGTCTCCTACCTTAGAATAAGAGTAACAGCCATTGCCCCCCTCTCATTTAAACCCCCCTAGTATTAAGACATTTGCGGGCAGGTCTCTCACGATCATAGGCGTGTCGTTGCAAAGGTCGTTCCCAATCATACGACTCCGTACACGCATCAGGATATATCCAATTTTTAGGACTAAGGCGTTTGGAAAGAGACCGTGCGTATTGATATTGTTGAAGAATTCAAACGGAAAGGTGACCTGCCGATCGGTGTCACCACCACCATGATCGTTCTTCACAATTTTGGTACTATGATGTGAACACAATTCGCCTTCCAATCGGGACGACACGTCCTCATTGACCAAATTGGAGTGCTTATTCCTGGGACACAGAATGAGCGGGTTTGCTTCTCACTTCGGCATCGCAGACCCTATGTCGTTGCTAAAACAGCTCGTTCACCATATTATCTGCAATAGAATCGCCTGGTAAACCCACGATGAGCTCATATGGATCGCCCAGTAGGCCTCACCAGATGATTAGAAGCAGTAAGGACCATTATCGGTAATGTCAACAATTGTTGCACCGAAAGGAAGCAGATGCGTTTGTGCTGTTGTACTGCCTATTAAACTCACGAAAATTGAGAGCGTTTTCATATTTCCCATCGGCGGAAACGCCAATGGGTTCGAACGGAACACCGTAACATGATCATGACAACAACCTTGCCGAAGTTTGCCTTTCTCCGCTTCGAAATGAAAAGCCAGGCAGTGCTCAACAGAGCATTCCACATTCATAGGGTCGCGATCATGCGAAACGGCTGGAGTGACGTTGAGCGCCCCAGCCAACGCAACTCGAGTATGGTTAAAGGTTCACCGCGTACGCGCGCTGCATTCCGCGCAGTGTTAACTGCCTTCTGTTGCTCTGCAATTAATGCACCTCTCCTCTCGGCTTTGACATCTTCAAATTAGCTCATAGGTCAGTGCAGACCTACGCAGCCTCACCGCTATTCTTACGCGGGCGCATCACATCACATATTGTTAAGCTGTTTAACTCATCCCACCCAGCTTAGGTCCCGCAGAAGTCACAGGCTTGTAGGCAAAATCAGTTGCTTGGACGAATCACGAAACGCACCTAGCCTATGACATGGATAGGGTAAGGCTCGTAGGCCTATCGGCTACCAAGCCTATGATCTGGAAAAGCAAAGGCATATAGGCCTAGGGACTACCTAGCCTATGTCCTTGAGGGGCATAAGCTCTATAGGCCAGAGGCTACACCTACCATGAATCTCCTTAGCGTATTCTCATGTAGTATGGAATGGATAAATAAAAATTATTGGACCTGAATGGGTTGAATTATGTAACACGTTACAATTTTTAGGAACTGGTAACAGTAATCGTTCCATCTCGCGTGACGGAACGAGTATCGGTATTTCGCTCCTTATTTGTCAAGTTTGTAATAGTCATCATTGCCCGGGAAAAGTTAAGATAGTAAAAATTGGTAAAACGGACTATCCGTTATGACAAACGGCTAGGCCGTTTGTCATAATGCCGGAAAAGGAACTCTAGCAGTAACGGGTTACATAAAAAAAAGTAACTGATAACTGTAACTTGTTCCTTTTTGCCAAATCAACTGAAACTGTAAATACGCTGCTGGAATAATAATTATTTATAATAAAAAAACACCTAGAACGAACGATGCTACAGCCACCAAACTTTGGCCATTTATTGGAGGCATCGAGGTATGCAAATGATCAATCATACTCCAATACCTAGCATCCCAGTGGTGTGATACAATTATGTGAATGCACCGTAGTTAGTACTCTGTATGGCCTCCTCTGGCCGTGATACAAGCTGCCGAACGACTCTCCCAGCTGATATCCATGTCACGTGATCGTATCACGCCACCGGAATAAATGGTCAAAGTTTGGTACTGTAGCATCGCTCGTTCTAGGTGTTCCCTTTTTTTTGCTTCGTTCAAGAATGATTAACTTTTTATTACCAGAGCCAGAGGACTCCGTTTTTGAGGTGAAACTGCAAATTTTTGCTAGTTAATGGGGGAGGGGAGGGGGGATCATTTGAGATTCTGATTCAAGGGCGCATTCAGGGGTCTGTGGCCTCCTATAAGTGCAAATACACCGGAACATTAGCTAACAATAATTAAATGGTCACGATGTACTTGTGGATTTAGCCTACCTATGATGAAGTACGACAAGTTTCTGCGCGAAGAATTCTCCAAGAGCAGCCAAGAGGATTCCGTTTAATGGTATCCCGATGAGGGCGTAGAAAATGCAGAAAACTCGGCCTTCTGGAGTCACCGGTGACAAATGTCCATATCCTGTTCAAGAAGAAAAAACTTATATTCATACTCCTTTGTATATTCTTACACTTAACATTTCAAAAGCCAAGGTGACTCCGACTTCAGCCTTTCCAGGCACAATGTGCAGTCGCGATTTCAGCACAAGAGTTCACCACTTTGATGTGACATAATGTGATAAACCAACTTGATGAACTTATATAGGGGAAGCTTGTGGATCGACTGAAATCCAGAATGAATTGGCTTTCCATTGTTGAATATGTGGGGGGGGGGGGGGAAACACAATGGTAACTATGACGACTGATATGATATCGAGCTGTCGTTGCTTTATCCATGACAACACTATCGAGGTAAAGGTTTCTTGACAGTTTAAGAAAGCTTTCATGCAAACAGAACCTAGAAAAGTGAGCAGGAGAAAAATTCGTGATTGAGGGGCAGGGTTCGTGACAATTTGAGCGATCTTTGACCTCACTTTCTCCGCTGTGACAATATGTCTATAATACTTCAATTGGAGAGGAGACAGTGGTCAGGGAAAGTCTATGATCCACAATCCCATTCTCAAATGCTGACTGTAGGTTCTTAGAATTCCCCCCTTTTTTTTCTATCATCACTATCCTACTCACTAGTTTTATTGTGGGTAAAGTTATTAGCAAGTTTAATTTTGTTGCATTACTTGCAGGCAATTGGGCGACCCCAAATGCGATGGTAGCCGGGAAGGGTAGGGTCGGAGAATATTTTTCACAATGATCAGGTGTGCAACTCTTGTTCATATGCATACCGATGGTAGTGACGATGGTGAAGGAGAAGAAGAATCCATTGTAGAAAGTCCATTTATACTTGGGAGCACTATCAGATTCAGAGAAAAGGAGACTGGAATTATCGCCGTTGGTACTGTTGTGGAATATGACCGGGGGAACGACGGAGATCCCCGTCTCCTCTGACATCCGACGCAAAATGTTCAACTTCTCCACAACGTCGGTGTTGTTCTCGTCTTCCCAGGGCAGGTCCATCACGAAGTGCTCTGAGAGAGAAAGGAAATGGTACATGGGAGAATTTAATCTCTGTCCGTCACAGCTATCCCTGAATCTTTTGTCTTCGCTGTTATCACCAACAAATTCACAATCGATACATAAATATGCTGCCCGTCAACAGTCCCGCATCACTTATTTACATTTGAATACCACGTATATCCAAGCTTACACAATGTAAGCGATACGCGTTTTACAGGGGCGAAGGTAGAGACTCCCGACTTTGAGCCTTCACATCTCTCCTTCTACTGAATCCACTTTTACGACACTTTCATGGTGCTAAGACTGACATATTCCAAACATACTATTGAAATTTCATGCTAAAGCGATCCATCTATGAGCAATTACTCGAAAGAAGTCAGAAATTGAAAATGGCAAGGGAGTATAGTCCCTGCGGAGCAAGTGGACTCTGCCCACTCCCTCTCCAGTGTAAACGAAGAAAAAAGTTGAAAAACTTAGGAAAACTCTGTATTGATACCTACTGGTTTCACCAGTTATTAATTGGACAAAAAAAGGATTGCAAAATTATATTAAAGCAAAAGTAAGCAGAAAAAGAAATTTAATAAAAGGGATGCTCGGCGGGGCTTGAATGATATTCAACCAGAATACATGGTAATTTTCTCCTCTCAACTACCAGCACTCCTGTCCATTTTCAATGTCCAACTTCTTCAATAATTGCTTTGCCTTGGAGTCATGAATTCAAGTGTAATTTCACAAATTTCTCAGATGCATACGAACCCATGCACAGTGCAAGTTTCGTATTTAAATAAAGAGCAGAAACTTTTTGGCTGAAGTTCGCGAGTCATTTCGCCACGCCCTGTAAATCGATGAAAAGCTCATTATCGCTGATTCCGTTGGGTGCCATCCATAAATCATGCAGTAGGTGTTCCTACATGAATGGGGGGGGGAAACGTTGCGGGATTGTTTTAGATAGGAACAATTTAGATCAAAAAGCGTCAAAGCACGAATATACGAGGTCTGCTCAAAAATTTCCAGTACTTTCTTGTTAAAAAATAAACCGCTTTAGGTAGGGGGCTAGGACTAGTGTAGGTGGGAGTGAGGGGGGGGGGGGGGGGGAATCCATTGATTGAAGCGCAAGATGTGCTAGCATCGTGAACGGAGCACACCTTGAACACGTTCTTTAGTAAAACTGCCAATATTACTTTTGTTTCAAGTCTATTATTCGGGGGTAACCGCACGCATGATGAAACCTCCTTTGCGCTAGGATTAACCAGTCGCGAATCACAAGCGTTGAAATCCGGTCGTCTCTGTGCCCTTCGTCGAATTTTCGATCATGCATCATAATCCTGATGCATCATGAGTTTGTCCCACAAGGCCAGACAGTTAACCACGCTTACTACGAAGATGTTTTGACCCGTCTGCGAGAAAAAATTAGGAGAAAACGGCCCCAACCTTTCCAAAATGAAGCCTGGTTTTTGCATCACGAGAAGGCTCCAGCCCACACTGCTATCACAATTCGAGAGTTTTTGCCTTAAACAAAATTCCTGCGTTTCCCTACCCTTCCTATTCACTGGACCTGGCTCCGTGTGACTTTTTCCTGTTCCCCAATATTAAATTTCACCTGAAAGGAAAAATATTTGAAGACATTGCAAGCATCAAGGAAAAATGCGACGAGGCGGCTTAAGAGTCTAACGCTCCAGGACTTCCAGCACCGCTTCCAGAAGTTGCAGGAGCGTTGGGATAAGTGCATAGCATCGAGGGGGGAATACTTTGAAGGGGACAACAATTAGTTTTAATGTACTTATTAGAAATAAAGTTTACGAATAAAAGTATTGGAACTTTTTGATCAGACCTCGTACCTCGGTACATGAAGCTAAAAAAAATATTTAAGAAAATGCAAAAAAAAAGCACTTCCAATATTACTTTTTCTCTGCAATTTTTCAGGTCGTTCCAGGAATGCTATACATAATGAGATGTTTCCAAAAGTTTAATAGCAACCTATGCGATTGAGCAAATCAACAATGCTTATTGAATATGTAAGAGCGCAAATGGGTCGACTTAATTCCACTCGAACCATTGAATTCCACTCCACCCAGAGGGAGGGCGGCATCAATTGCAGCATGAGGAATATTGTACGCTTCTGAAAAGATCCACTCTTGGACGATTAATTTTTTTTTTAGCATTCCAGCTACAGGTATGGATGGAAGCTCTGGGAAATAAGGCAGTGTCAGTTTGCAACTACACTCATATCATGATAGAAAAGAGTGAGCGATTTCCAAAAAAGGGAGCGAAAATGGAGTTAGCGATTTTACTCCCTAAAAACAAAGAAGTGCAGCTGCTCATCTCCCTCTTTCCTGAGAACAACCACTGACTTTTTCCACTAGTTTGAAATGTATTCTCCCTCATTCGTTTCGCGCTCTTAAAAAAGATATGGATTTTGCTCTTATAAAGTAGTAGTTATCGATTGCACTTACTCGTTTTTATGGAGCAAAACCGCTAACTCCAGTTTCGCTCCCTTTCGTGGATATCGCTCACTTTCTTCTCAGAGTGTAAGGAGTAACGGGTAAAGTGAAGGTACTCCTCTGTAAAGAGCCATTTCAGGCTACGGAGCTTTTTCAGAAGCAAACTCAAATTTTTATTTTCTATTTTATTGAGCAAGATGGGAGCTTGCACGGAGGATGGTTTCAGGAATTCGGAAGCCGATATGAACACCAGGCAAAAACTGCGTTGCTTTGTAGCGGTGGGGACGGACAGGCGGCGGTTGAAGGTCACATGCTGTCTGCGTCCGAGTGCGCGGCAGCGCAGTTTTTGTTTGTTTGCCAGTTTCTAATTTTCATATTGTCGACCTCTCATGCTTTATTCCCGGTTTCCTGAAAGCAGATGGAGGCTTTTGAAATCCTGAAATATATGATAGCATCTCGACCTTCCTTACTGATTATGCCATCTATGATTGTAAATCTACGACCTAAATTTCATGTTGATGACTTCTGATGTTTTATTCCGAGTTTCCCCAAGGCCAGCGGATGATTTTGTTCTGAAAGGTATAAGAGGAGCAGACCTCATCGTGACGTCTTTCCTACCAGTTATCTGACAAAAATCGCTTACCCCTGTCTGGTTTCCTCACTTTTGGGGTCGTGATTTCCAAGTCTTAAGTCTTACTCGGTTTTGTATTGAAGGGGTTTGACTTTCACATTTCTTTTCTATTTTGAAATTCATACCAGACTGCCAGTATAGTGTAATTAGTAGAAGTAGTTTTTATATCGCTTCAACGCTCCATAAAAAGTACTTACTTTTTTTTTTAGCAATGCCTGTACTAGGCTCTCAGTTTATGTGAACATCAAAAGGTAAACTGGCAGGGGATACACGTATATCGATACCTTGCTTTTCGAAATCGGTTCAGTGGTATTTGCTAGGGGGGAATTTTTGAATTTAAAAAAAATGCTTAAGAGTTTCAGTTACATATTAAACTTATACAAAACATACTCCAGAGTCAGATGAGTCCGCGTTCCTCACTTGCCAAAATCAGTGCAGAAACTTGTTCTAGATTGATCCGGTCATTTTAGATATCATGCTTTTTTTGTCCAATTTCAGCACTTGTGTTTCGAATAACATTATAGAAACGATATTAAAGCGAAACTATCAGTTCTATATTTGTCGCAAACGATTCAATCAGTCGTTTTTGCTATAAATCTATTAGTTCCCAAGTAGCATGGTCCCATGGACGTCCTTAAGAGATCTTGACATCCCATATCCCACAACGGACATCCCAAGGACATAAGAAGGATTTGGCGCGTAGGACGTCAGTATTCCTCACCTTCCGGGATGTCCTCTGGATGTTCCATAGATATCCACATTCGCAGGACATTTCATAGGGGCATCCATGAGACGTCATTTGTCCTACGTGGAATCATTATAGGATGTCTCAGGGATGTTCTGTTGCTCATTGGGTTTGTTCTGTCGCATGAACGCCAACCATAACGTAACTGGTGTAAGTCAAGTTCGAGTTCTGGGAACATCAGTTAACAACATGATGGTAGTACGACGGAAGCTCACTACCTTCTAATAGAGCAAGGTGATTGTATGCCATTTGGCATGAAAGTCCAGCCGAACTGCTGCAATACTTCAGGGTTTACGATGTAATATGTCAGAGCGCGATGAAAGATTTAACCTAGCCAGTCCGGCTACTTGGGGCTGGGTGGGGGGACAGGACTACGCTACCTGAACTCTCACCACAATACAGTTAGTTCTGTAGTTCTGTTACGTCCCACATCTAGAACAGGAGTGCGACATACTTCAGGGTCTCCCTTCATAAAGCCGCTCGCCATCACCGAACCATTCACCTGCCCCATGAAACACGTGCATTCTGTATAAGCTTGCTAGAATCCGAACCCTATTCCTCATTGGCATAATTCCATCCACAGATATGGAGATTTACCGTTCTCTGATATTGATTTTTTTACTTACCTATCTTAGTATTTCTTCGATTCACGCGCACATGTCTACCTCACTATTTTTTAGAAGTGATACCATTCAGTAGCAGAGCCTTCTCTCTTAGCTTTAGAAGCCTTCTCGCAATGGAGCTATGTAAAACCGGAGCCGTGCAAGCTTGGAAAATTTTAATACTGAAACTCTACGGACGGGGTTTGAAGGATATTATCATTTCTCACTGCACGTGGCGAACTTATCGTTACCCTGTACCTTTCCAGAGAAATATACAGATAGTGAGGCGAAAACAACTTTCTTATCAGCTTGTAGAGTCAGGGTGTTTTTTTCCCCTTTTTCTTCTCTCGTGCCTGTTTATACTTGTCAGGATCCCATGATCTTTTTTCCATAGATATTGATTAACTTAGTTCAGGCTCGGGGGCAAGCATCCTGGGCTTCATTGTTATCTTCACGATCCGTTGTTCAGATCCTCTCCGACTGTTTTTTTTTTTAGTACTGTACTTTCAATGATTGTAATGACCAATTTATTCCGTCCTCACTCGCTACAGGGCTTTGGTTTTGTGTTTAAAGTTCCTGCACACCTAAGAAAAGAGGGAAGGGATTACGTGTTGCTAGCCGTCTGAAGCAAATGCGGAAGAGATGGCAAAAACTGACATGCCCCTTCGGTGCCTAAGGGGTGGAAGAAACCACGTGGCAAAACAGGATTCCCCATCGTAATGGCTCCCTCTATCATCTTTCATTTAAAGAGTGCATTCCTCATGACCTTTCCAGGAAACCGGATCTTTCCAACCTTCAGCTCCTGCAATGTTGAGTCTAGCAGTGTTACTACTTGAAGACCAGCAGCACCCGACTGCTGCATTCACATCACCGAAGGGAAGTAGGACTATGATAAATGCCGCTGCGTCGCGCAACGGCCGATTGCCCTCACGAAACCAGGACATCGATTAACCCTCTGAGCCTCACGTCAGGGGCATATAATGGCACCGCATTATCTCCAGGGATAAAGCTAGTGGTATGGTCTGACAGAGGATCTTCCTTTCCGTTCCGCGTCAGTACCAGGATACAGACACGTTGTTTTGATATCAATGATAAACACTCATTAACAGAGAGATACAACATTTTTGGAGTACTTTAACTCTTGGTCCTGAGAGCACAACAAATAAGTAAAAGAAACTAGCGTTCAGATTTTTATGGAATCTATCGTATGGACCCGTGAATTTTCTGTCATGCTAACTCACCTATGAAGGCCAGACGGAGTTCCTCTTGTTCCCTTATCCGTGCCCGTTCGTGTTCGGATTCCATGTACCAAAAGATTCCTCCGCCAAGGAGAAGGTATAGAATGTAGACGAGGAGGAGTCCGAACCACTGACGTTTGTTCATCCCAGCCATGATTCATCATTAGATCAGATGGAAAAAACACGACACGGACACAAATGCAGGATGAGGCTGCTGAGAAGAGTTCGCACCAGAATCTGGACGAACAGGTTTCTATCACGGAAAGACAACTAAGGAATGCGCGTGAGTGAGAGTGAGTGAAAGAGGGTGTGAAACGAGAGCGGGCAGTGGAGTCAGTCACGTCTGTGTACATACTGAACAGATGCTTGAATGCAATTTACATCCCTCGAGGCTCGCGGTCGAAGGCTGAGTCGAATGTGCCCCACAGCCCGCAGGGAAGAGAAAGAGGGGTTTCCCCAATCCGGTCTGGGACAGTCAGGTTCGTCGCCCTCCTCCCCTTCCCTACCCATTCTCTTTGTCCCCCCCTCCAGCTGGCTTTTTTAAAATATTATATCTAACGTTCTCTTCAGCCTTACGTAATCATTGTGCCCGGCCTCATATATGCCTTTTTTATTTCAATAGTTCCTAACAGCAAAAAAAACAAAACGGGATGAGTGCTAACACTGCACAGCTTGCTACGGGTGACTCGGAGAAGTGTAAACCTGTTCTCCCCATTCTCTGTGGATAGAAAAGACGGACAACCTTTCCATGCATTTTCGGCAGCAATGCCCAGTCTGCAACGGAAGAGCAAAGTTAGGCGCACAGAACAACTTACTTCATACACTTCCGCAGATTCAGCGTCTTGAGTCACACAGACCGATTATGGAGTGGAACCTTTCGTGAGTCACCCCATGGTAGACCCAGGGCTTCAACTTCAGTATCATCCTGTGCTTTTGTTTATTTATGTATTTTTTGTTTAGTTTCTTCTATTATGAAAAGAAAGTTTACGTTCTCTTGACATCGATTCAATAGGAAGAAGGTTATTAACCTCTAAAGCTTGCAATAGTAGCGTGCATACATTAAAAGTTGGCCTTGTTTCGACTGTGGAATGTGCTTCCGGGCAATCTATCCCAGGGCTGTTCTAGGATTGTCCCAGGTCTTGGTCTCATTCAACACGCACTCGTGGATCTATTCTGGGATTGGTGTCTGACAGTTGAGCGAAACCATCCTGGGAATCATGACATCTCGATAATTCATTACTGAATCCTATGAATACGCTCTCCCGGGATAGGTTGTAAGTAAGAAACACAACTATTGAATTGGGCATAAAACCACTTTGGAGGGATACAGTTCCCCGCCACCCTCGGTCACTCATAAGATCCATGTGGATGAAGGAGGAAGTCTTGTTGCCTATTTTTTTTTCCTCGATAAGTATACGTCTTACAGGCTTCAGTGACATGATACATATATAATGGTACATGTTGCACTTATTCTTTTTTTCCCCATAAACTCCGTCTAGACAGGGGTTGGGAACCTTTTGGCCATGTGAGCCATATCAAGATCGAGCTAAGTGCTTGTAAGCGAAATATTTTCCGGACAGAAGTTTTCCTGAAGTTGGCAACAGACTTTGATACATGAGAAAAATTAGGAGCAACCACGATATTTAACCACGACTCAATGAGCCTAATTTTTCGGCTCGTGAGCCATAGGCTCCCGACCCCTGGTCTAAGTCTATGCCCTTTTCCCAGCGATGGTGAAAAGCCCCTATTCCACTTAGGGAACGTTCCTCCCCTTGTTTAGAAAGCCACGGACAGCGCACTGCGCGTTGCACAGCCTGATCATCTCCAGACCAGGTTCTTTTACTACTACAGCAAGCTGTGCTTTCCCATCTTGCTTACAGTCCTGATTTCGCACTCTAGATTTCATTTATGCATATTCGTTTCCACGAAGAACCACCTGAAATGAACCCACTTTGCAAATGGCCATGCGATAGAGCATGCAGAACTTCAATGGCTTCCTAGCAAGGGAAGAGATTTTATCAACATGAAATGATGCTTATCGCCTTTTTTGGGCATAATCCAGGACAGAAATTACGTAGAAAATGTTGAGTAAGTGCAACCAACATATACTGGCTCATATGTCTCGTGTAACTGAAACTCGTAAGATATGTAGTTTATGAGTAATAATTTGGGTGACAAGACTTTATTCTTGTATATTTCTAGCTCGGGCCAAAGGGCTGGGGAGACAGGGCGAGACTGACGACAGCGGGGGGATACTCCTGTTATAGTCCATCCGCCCAACCATGTTACACTTTTAATTCTCAAATTACAATCAATAACTACTCCTTTATATGAGCAGAATCCATAACTGTTTTTTAAGAGCCCGAAACGAAGGAGGGATAGTTCTTTTTAAACCATTAGAAGTTAGCGGTTATTCTCAGGAAAGAGAGCTGTGAGCGGCATTACTTCCTTGCTTTTTGGGAGTAAAATTGCTAACTCCAGTTTCGCTCCCTTTCTCGGAAATCGCTCACTCTTTTCTAAGAGTGTAGGATTAAGAGGGTTTTTAAAAAGATACCTGGCTAGTGCCCTGAGCTTCTAGCTCGGTCCACCACTAGTAGCCTGCTAGCCTCTTACGAGGTCTTGACAAGTGGATGTCACCACCAGATTGATGAGCTACCGTAAAAGACCGGTCGTAAGGACGTATCATGGACGAGGAGGGGAGAGAACACTCGCATGCGCCTTCGGCAGCGAGGGGTCAAACTCTTGTTTACTCCGTTGTTGCTTCCTTTGTCCTTCATCTCATCTCCTGCGTAACATACCGCAAGGGAAGCGAGCGCCGACTGCAGGTGGCAATGCGCGTGTGATGGCTGTACCCTCCTGCACGGTAGGAGATCCGCCTCAAAATTTCGTTTCCTCAATCTTACAGAAATGGGGAATAATAGTTATTAGACGAAATGAGATTAGCATGAGAATCCTCGAGCAATTTCAGGTATAATGGGAGGTAGGCATGGCTATTACACAATTCCTTTATAAAAAAAATTGAATTTTTACACAGCAGGTGGCATGTAACCATCAGTCTTTCATCTATTTCCCTGCAGACTCCAGCTATGGTTGCCGTTTATGGCACGCTGAGTCGTACAATGTGAAGAGGGCTTTCCAAATATAAGCAATTGATCATTACCATAGCTGTGAAGTTTGAGCAAGGTAAAAAAAAAAGAGAACCACACCCACTCCAAATATAGGAGAGGGTTTTTCTTTTTCTTTTTTTTTTAAGGCGTACATACATACATACAGTAATCCCTCGCCAACCGCGGGGGTTACGCACCTGAAAAACACCGCGGTTGGCAAAACCCATGGCTTATGGGAAATAGGGGGTTAGGGGAACCCACTTTCAGGAATACAGGGTGTGGGCACTAAGTAACTGAACACGTTTAAATTCGAATAGAAACAAAACGGTTCAATGGATCTAGGAGCAATTTTTTTTAAAGTACATTTACAAGAAAAAAAAATACAGCAAAAAAACTTCACTTCAGGTGCTCAATATGTCCGCCGTCTTGGTCGATAAAAATTTGAAGCCTTTTCAGCACGTTGCGGCATGCTCGGGAACATACGAGGGGTGGTCAAAAAGTTCTAAGACCAAGGCAGTTGCAGTACACCATTCTTACTCTTATCATGGGAAGACAGATGTCTTTGATGGTGATTGGCGAAATTTCATCTTATTTGTCGATTAAGGATAGCTTCTATGAATTTTTTTCAATGTGCTACCAAAGGGTCTGCTGAAGGGGTATTCCTCACAGCATTCGTCTCAGCAGACGAATGCTGGGAGGAATTTCCTAACCTTTAAGGAGCTGACCTAACTGCAGATCTTTCAGAGACTGAGAGGATAGAGTCCTACTAATCCCCTCCTCTAAAAATTCCTCACAGCATTCGTCTCAATTTTAATGCCCCTTCAGCAGACCCTTTGGTAGCACATTGAAAAAAATTAATAAATAGTAAGTATAGATGTTCTGTTAAAATACAGGGTGTCCATAAAGTAACTTGACATAACGATTTTTATTTTCGTCGCCAACTAAAATTTTACGTTGCCATAGTCTTCAAGATGACTACATTTTTATTTATTCCGGAACACTAATAATATTCAGTTTTCTCCATCCCAAGTACCTGAAAAACTAATATTTTGACAACTGCTGAAAATACTTTGTTGATCGCAAAGAGCATTTCCTCGTTCTCCTGAAGGTCGACCTTGTTTCGATTGGTCTTGAACTGACCCTGTCACCCGAAACTTCCTAACAAGATCATGAATGGCTGGGTGAGAAGGCCCTTGGGACGTCTTTTAATGGCGTTTGAACTTCTTTTGTGTTTCTGCCCATAGGCGGCGATTTGTTGAGAAATTTGCAGGGGTCAGAGACAAAATTTGGGAGGGCTCAGAGACAGTACTCCAAGTATTCCTTATTCTTCTGCCAATTTTTGGGAGGGCTCGTGCCCCCTGAGCTCCTTTGAATCGCTGCCTATGTTTCTGCCACAGATTTTGACTCAAAATACCACAAGATTATCTTTATTCTTTGCGAGAAACTTAGCATTTTCGGCAGTTCTAAAAAAAAATAGTTTTTCAGGTACCTTGGATGGGGAAAAATGAATATTATTAGTGCTCCGAAATAAAGAATTTAGTCCTCTTTAAGACTATGTCAACGTAAAATTTCAGTTGGCGACGATAAAAAATTAGTTATGTCAATTTATTTAATGGACACCTTGCACATCAAGTTTATTCAGATTAATATAAAAAAAACTATAGCAGAAAGAAATAATGAGTATGCGCCTGAAACCACAGATACTCAAAGCCTCATACCGCGGTTGGTAAAACGGTATACATTTCGGATGCTCGAAACCGCGGTTGGCGAGGGATTACTGTATATGTCGTAGGGTTTTGTGGAATTCAGGGGGATTTGGAATCTCCCTAGGGAGAGACAGGATTCCACTAAACCCGCAGGTTTATCGGTATCCTCTCAAAGTCGTGTCAATGTCACCCTAGGGAGATTCCATATCTCCCTGGCTTGGAAATTACCCTTCCCACGGCTTGTCCCGCCGAGGGAAATTCTCCTTTCGTTTGCGTTTACGGATTATTTAAGGCTGAAGAATACCGTGTTATAGTCTGTTCCCGACCAAAATTCTCGGATATGGAATCCCCTTCACACTTATTGTGGGTACCCGTAAAGTACCAACTGGAATTGACATGTGAGTGCCACCCTTTTGGGAAAGAATGCACAGGGTTGTCAGATTCTGTTGGAATCCTCCCATGGCCGCCACAACATTCGCAGGACACTCACACGAAGAAAATGCATAAAAATCCATATCACGCGTTGACAAC